TCATTTGTATCTTGTAAGCACTAATTTCAAACACAAGGAGAGACACTGTTTGACCTGGCGACCTCCACAAATAGACCACATAGCAATAAGCTATCGTTGGCGTGGGTCGGTAGGAGATTGTCGCTCCTTCTGGAACACGTGTGTAGATACCGATCACACACTGGTCCGCGCTCGTGTGTGCTTACGACTGAACAGACGTAGGAAACAGCTAGCGGTAAAACCATCACGTCCCCAGCTCGATCAGGAAACTAAGTCCCTATTTGAGGAAGAACTAGCTAAACACATATCTGAGTTCGACACCTGCGCTCACCCTGAAGAAGCCTGGAAAAATATTCAGTCAGCTATAGATACAGCTGTAAAAGCTTTGAATAAGGTAAGTCCAAAGGCGAGTAAAAACCATTGGATTTAAACTGCCTCATCCGAACTGATAGATACTAGAAGACTTATTCCGGCGAGCTCCGAATTCAATGAGGAGCGAAAGCTGCACAAAAGGAAACTTACGAAAAGTCTCCGCAAGGACCGTAAACAGTGGTGGTTGACAAAGGCGAAAGAGATGGAAAAAGCATCGGCGATAGGCAACACTAGGCAACTCTTTAGACTCATCGGGGAAACGGGTGGGAGAAGGCAAATCATAAGTGAGACTACTTGTGAGAAAAATGGCTCCTTAATAAGCTCTCAGGATAGACGCCTCGAACGCTGGAAAGAACACTTTGAGGAACAATTTAACTTGCCTACAGCCACACTGAGCCTCCCCGCCATCCAGCACACACCCGAATGGGATATAGACACTGGCCCGCCGTCTGTAAATGAGGTCACCAAAGCTATCTGTAATTTGAAATGAGGCAAAGCGGCAGGACCCGACGGAATTATTCCAGAGGTGTTTAAATATGGGGGTGACATACTACGATATAGTTTAACTAAGGTACTAGGTAACGTCTGGGAATCAGAGACGGTTCCATCAGACTGGGGTAAGTCACTTATTATACCAATATTCAAGAAGGGAGACAAATCCTCATGTGATAATCATAGAGGAATCAGCCTAACGAACATAGTCTCTAAAATCCTAGGCTCAGTAATCATGAACAGACTAAGCCGAACTCGGGGGGAACAAACGAGAGAAAATCAAGCAGGCTTTAGGTCAGGTAGAGGGTGCATAGATCATATCTTCACTCTCCGACAGATCCTAGAACATAGACACACTTTTAGGCGTCAGACAACTGCCATATTTCTTGACCTGAAGGCGGCCTTCGACTCCGTGGATCGAGAGGTACTATGGCAATGTTTGACTGTGAAGGGAGTGCCAAGAAAGTACATTGCACTAATCAAGGCACTCTACTCAAACTCACGTAGCCATGTAAGGGCTTATGGGGAATTGTCATCTGAATTGATAACAACCAGTGGTGTCCGTCCCCTTTTCTGTTTAACTTCATTATAGATATGCTAATGGAAGTATCCTTAACTGAACTTAACGACTTAGGAATCGACTTGTTACCAGGGAATAGTCTTATGGACTTAGAATACGCAGACGACATAGTCCTGTTAGGGGAGGACGCTGACAAAATGCAGAGTCTTCTGGACACCTTGAGCAGCAATCTTCGTATGTTTGGCATGCGATTCGCGCCTCTAAAATGTAAGATGCTGCTACAGGATTGGACTCCTAGCTTAGTGATAGGGAGTGAAGTGATAGAACATGTTGACCACTTCACCTATTTGGGAAGTTGTATCAGCACCAACGGATTGATTGCTGACGAAATCTCAGCACGGATCCAAAAAGCTCGGGCTGCTTTCGCTAACTTACACCATCTCTGGCGTAGGCGTGACATCCGGCTGTCAACCAAGTGACGGGTATACTGCTCAGCAGTTCGCTCCGTCCTTCTCTATGGCGGTGAGACGTGGCCATTGAGAGCGGAAGACATGAAGAGATTGTCTGTTTTTGAACACAGATGTTTACGATTTCTTTCTCGCGTTAGGTGGTATAATAAGGTAAGTAATGTTGACGTTAGGCGTAGAGTGTTGGGCAAAGAAGGAAAATCAATCGAAGAGGCTATGAAGTTACATAGATTGAGATGGTTAGGCCACGTGCTGCGCATGCCTAACCATCGTCTGCCCCGACGGGCATTACTAGCTGATATAGGTGCAGGTTGGAAAAGAGTAAGTGGTGGCCAAACAAAAACATGGCCTCACCAATCCATGAAATCCCTGACAGTTAAACTGAGTCAGGTAGGGAGATGCAGACTTCCGGGTTGGGGCCCACCCTCGGGACTCTAAGAATCAATGGCTGGAGACAATAGGTGACATGGCTCAAAATCGTTGTCAATGGCTTACGCAGATGTATTCAGTCTCTTTAACCTTCATATTCCTTTCTACCATTGCTCATTCTGTTTCACTCTTATACTTATCTAAATTCTATTGATTCTCTTCTCTCGTTTTCCTGTCTACCTTTGTGTGCTATTTGGAACGTGGCAACTCGAACTGCTGCACTTCGGTGCCAAGTTCTATGTTGAATCCAGCAGCAGCAGCAGCATTCTGAAAGTATTATGTAATAACAGTTTTTACTTAATGGCTAAATGCTTTGATACAATTAAATCTAAATGTATGTAAAACAGAAATCAGCTGCAAACGAGATCAACACATGTTGCGAAATTGAAGTTTTGTGTTATTATGTGGCTTTTGGAGAAAGTGATTTTATTGGTCTTTTTTGTACCTTATGCAACTAAAACGAATGAGTTATTTTATCAGTGACAATGAACAGTTGTTTTTTTCTGTGGAAAGAGTATACGGAGTATTTTTATTGAATAAAGTTGTTATTCTGTTCATAGACCACTATTTATCTTCTGATAGTTTCACAGTCTTACTCGATATTCAATTCAGATATCTCACTGTATTTGCTGTCGTTAGTACCTGATTGATTATTGATCGATCAAAGTAGAACTCAGAACAGAAGTGTATCCGTTCAAGCTGCCACACAAGCTTACACAATGAGGAAAGAAGCACACAATGGTTCTACATTTTATAAACATAGATGTAATGAACAGTCTAACTGGACAAATGTTGGCGAACATCTTCAAAATTCCAAAGAAGACAGGGAATGTACATATATGTTTTTCAAAAGAATGGTTGCTGAACAAAGCATACTCTTTTCGATCACTTCGTCATCAAGGTCTACAGTTGTATATACATTATAGTGAATGAATGAATTAGTGTTATGAACAACATTAATGTTTAAATAACATCGAATCAATAATATCAGTGGATTACAGTTCAATGGCATCAACATAACTATACAGTGAATATCAGAAAAACTAGGAAAGATGACAATACAAATCCATGAATTTATAGTCTCTACTGAAGGCCAAGGCAGAAGTAGTGGCTGAACCTCTTTCTTTTGAACACAGAGCACCAAATGTTTCAGGCGGATTGAGATAGCCTCTGCTGTTTGAAGCATGCGGTAACTCGGTGTTTTTGTCAATTTGTTTGGTACACGATGGATGATGGAGAAGGACTCTTCAATATTGGCTTTGTGGCCAGTTTTGACCAGGTGGTCTAATATGAAGCAATTGATGCTTCTAACTACGCCTTTATTTAACCACACTGGTAGATGTTCTCGAGCACGAAAAATCAAGTTCCTAGAACAACGGCCGATATAACTCGCTCCACAAGCTCAGTTGAACTGGTAGATACAATTGGAAGTGGCTAGTCTAGGTGCTTCATCTTTCAGTCAAGGAATCATCATCGGTCATGTAGAGAATAAGACGTGTAGTTTTAACTTGTCATCCATAATTCCTTTCCGACCTAACTTTCCTCATATCTCCATCTTCTTACTATTGTCATTCTTCCAACGTCTACCCATAAAATTAACAAGTAAGTTAAAACTACAGCTTTCACCTGATTTATGAAGGTCATGCAGCACAAATATTTAAACTCACTTTAATTATTTCTCTGACTAATTCTGAATGCATTAGTTAACTTAAAATCCAATCTATTACTTGGCCGATAAAATTAACATTAAATAGTGAAAGTTAGTTAAAAGAATCTTGTTTTGTTTTCCATTCTCTGAGGAATACTAACATCAGGATAAGAAGTAATATTTACTCTGTAATCAGGCAATTTATTTATTTCAGTCGGAAAAAGCCAGTTTGTTTACCCTCGTGTTCCACTAAGCTGTCATTTATTGATAATAAGTAAAAAAAAAAACTTGGGCACTGTGGCAGAGTATAACTCCATTATATGTAAGATTTTTATTTTGATAAATAACATAATGTTGTACAGTAATATTAACTGATGACCACGTTCCGAGCACAAATTATTGCCCATAAGCATATCAAGTCACTCAAACAACTTTCATTATGTATTTTAGTATATTAAAAGTTTATCTTTCTTACAGATTCGGTTCAATCTGTCTCTATGTTTATTTTCACAGGTTGTGGGGATTCACAAGTGATCAGAAATTACTATTGGGATTTGGTGTTAAGACGAGTTACTTGTAACCATCCCGTATCAAACTCTATTTGCTGAATTATTATTCCTATCAGACATTTCAGCTCATATCAGAATTTGGTGTTCTTATCCAACCCAAACATCAGTATCCTTATCGTTCATGTAATTCTTCAACTCTTGTGGCCACTGAGGGAATCACAGTCTATATCTCCTACTGAAGCGAAGATATTACCACAAATTAACTTGTTGTAACTGTTAGCAGGATGTTGTTATGTTAAGATTCAAACGTCTATACGGTCCAGTGATATTGGTTAGCACGCGTTTTCAGTCCTGACCGCCATAAATTGTACTTCAATTACTAGAGTTTCGTGTATCAAACAATTTATGAACAGTGAACTTTTCTATGTTATAGTTTTAAATGCTTTTTCTTGCGGACATTAATGCGTTACTACGCTACTTTGAAACCTAGTCAGCGTTGATTTAAACATACTTTCATTTTAAATGCAATTAATGTAAAACCTGGTGAATAAAACTCGAAATTTGAAATGTGTCCACTAACTTACTGTCACCTTCGATTGTACAGACTAGTAACACATTAGAAAAGCCGTAGAAATCACCCTGAAAGGAAAGGGAAATTTTGGAATTTAAGCACCTACTGAGCTATAATAAATAACATTTATTTACAACATATTTCTTATTAATGTATATCATTTAGAATAATCCATGCAGAAATACATATAGATTACTTGGGAGTTAGAAACTCCTGGTGATATGACCAGTTGACTTTATGGTTTATAAGTATATGTAATCACCTCAATGGATGATAAGTGACGTACTTATGAAGTTCTTAGTTCTGATAAATTTGTGTATGCGATAGGTACTGATAAAATGTGTGGCACAAGTACAAAAGCTGCGACCAAGACTTACTAAAGATTAAATCCTGATATCAAACACAAAGCTCAGTGAGTCAAAACATCACGTCATGAAGTTAAGTCGCTATTTTATTCAAATGGTTTCAATGCCCACAGCATATTGATTTTCTCATCTGAAGAGAGTTTTATTAATTATTTATAGTCCTCTGCATTGCTTTTTTCAATTAGACTACCTAGTTGGTAAAACTATTTAACAATAAACGACACTGTAAACCAAACAAATTCTCAAGTAAGCTATGAATATCCACATCTTAGGCTATAGATGTTCTCCGTCTATCCAAACACAACATTAAATATGGCAACTAATGGTTATCAAACTGTTTAGAAAGGCAGCAAAATGGCAGTTGAAAAACTCTGGAAAACTGTGCTATAGTATAGAATTCTACTGTTCATCTCAACATGTAAATGCATAAGTCCGCTTAAAATCGGCAAGAATACTTGTAATTTTCACACCGTTTGACTGAGAAATATCTCTTCGCTGACGTCTGTGTTTTTTTGTATTAGCTTCAGCCAGCAATGTATGTTTAACATGAGGAGCATTATGGATGAACATAATGAAGTTTAACTAATACTTAAACACACTTAGGAAATCGGTGAACAAATGTTTATAGACCAAATTATGTAGATAAATTGTCTTCAATGTCAGAGTTACAAAAGTATGATTACCTTACAACCCCCCTTACGTAAGTTAAAAATGAAGGTTTGTTAGTCGTAAAATATTCTAAGTACTCTCTAATTTGTAACTGAAATAAAGGAAATTATTAATAATGATGACTAAGCCATTATTTCATGTGACTGGCCGATAATATCTGAATAAAAGTGAGACGAAAAACGTGTTATTGTTGTCTTCATTCATATGCTTACCACATTCATCCCAGCTACGCAAGCACCTAATTGAATTTTAAATACCACCACTCCATTCGAACGTAAACGCGCGTCAACCTAAAAAAAGATAACGTACTGATTTACAGCATCAAATAATGAATACATTTTCAAATTAATGAGTTTGTGGAGACTTAACTGGTTGCTCACGAACTAACTAACATTTTGCAGTTGAATAACAAACCAGTAGAAGGTAGATTTCAAAGACCAATGAATTATGATCAGTGGCGCCTTCGCCTCACAATACAACCTACACAAACTTGATTCCAGTATCAGATATAAAATGGCCTCAAAACAGGAATCGAAGGAAGCTTAGTCAGACCTCTGTAAATCGCTGAAGCTACTAGTTTATAAGAAGGTAAGTAAATCTTGCTGTGATAACTACAACTAACGTTGCATCTAAGATCTTAGGTTCAGTGGTTCTACAAAGACTAAGTTGGGCTTGGGATAGACAAACTCAAGAAAACGCGATAGACCCCAGACGTGGACAAGAGTTTGTTGATCACATCTTGATTCTTCGACAGGTTTTGAAACATAGATAGGATCGGTTTGCATCTACCGGTAAGTTAAAGAGAGGGATGGTTGTTTGTGTTGACAAATTCATTTATTTGGGGGAAGGGTTGCATAAGCTTTAATAAAAGGAATCTCAGCATGGATACAAAAGGTTCATTTGGCATTCACCAAGGGCATGATATCTACTTCCCACCAGAGGGAGCTATGTGCTGCATGATACCTTGCTCCATCCTACTTTACGGCTATGAAGGTGGATGTAAAGCGATTAGCGGACTAAGACCAAATATATTTCCGCTCAGTCTCAAGTTAGTTAGTGTGATATAGTCAGTAATAATAATGAGGTTTGGAATATAATGTTGGTTAGTGATAAAAAGTCGTTTATAAGATTCCAAAGATTTCGAAAATCCTCATTAATCTTCGGCTATTTATTGTTTCTTTCAAACACCTTCCATTTCAGTCAGCTTCATTGAATTTCTTTCCTTTGCTTTTATCCGTGCCATTCCAAAGTATGGCAACTTAATTTGATGAACTTCTTCGTCAAGTTTTGCTGTGGATTTCTTGAATCTTTTCAAAGGCTAGTAGATAGGTCAGTGACTTTTCAACTAACAAATTAACTGAAGTGATTCTGATATGAATAGAACTTATTTATTTGAGAATTGCTATGAAGTTAGCAAAAACAAGTGAAACAATTAGTGTCATGATGTGTAACACTCATTATTTTTACACTGATTATATGAAACATACATCGAAGATATATTAAAGTTCTGTCATTTGTAGGCTTTTAAACCTAACTGGTTTGTGACCATTTCTTTGACACCCATGATTTTCTTCAGACTGATTAGCCATTCTAGTGCTAATTCAGTGTTGTTTCAACCCCATCATCAAGATAGCTAGTCGGTTGACATTTTGTTAAAACTCCAAGGAATATTTGTTTGGATTAGAAATATTGAACACAAGTAGATGTAGTGTTTAAGTTCATATAATGAATTTCCCAACAAAATGTTTGCGCTAGGTAAATTTATGGTATTTAATTGCACTGGATCGGAATAAATGAAACAGACTGTGATTGACAGTCAGTAACCACTCAATAATTATGACATCGGTTGGTTGTTAACGACACAATGGAACTCATACTAATCTCAAAACAATTCTATGTACATATATTCCTTAAGATGAAAATTGGAAGTGGTTATTTTTTATTTGTAGATCTTCATTTCAACTTATCTTCTCCTAAATCAAATGTAAAACACTCAGTATAAATGAGTAAACTAGAAAATTCCTTTAAGTGAAGAAGCCAAGGAGTCCCAAATAGGATGAAAGATGCCTCCTGGATTCCAGTGCTAGCCACTACGATATCCCTGGCGTAGACGTGACATCTGGTTGTCGGTCAAAGGATGTATGTATTGCTCAGCAGTTCGTTCTGCCCTCTTTTATAGCTGACAGACATGGCTACTGAAAGTGGAAGACATGGAAAGGTTAGTTGTCTTTAAATATATTTATCTGAAGTCTATCTCCCATGTTAAGTGGTACAATGTGGTCAGGATATTGAGGTTAGATAAAGAGTGTTATGGAAGGAGGACAATTCGGTCGATGAGGTTTTGAAGGTGGTCCGACTGAGTTAGCTAGAATATGTGTCACACATGCCTAGCCATAGCCTTCCTCAGCAGGCAATGTTAGCTGTCGTAACAACAGGTTGGAAGAGAGTTAGAGGTGGTCAAACCAAAACCTCGGATCAATCCATGAAATGTTTGACATTTAGTTTGAGCCTCATGGGAAGGCGTGAGTTTTCTGACTTGGATCCTCGAGATACTAAGAACCGATGGTTGGAGATCATTCGAGCTATGGGTTAAAGACGTTCACGGTAGCGCAGATGGATTCACTCTTTGTGATATCCCATATCAATTAGACCCTAATGTTTTTCCATGTTCCTATTCTTTCTCCTTCATATTTCTGCTTTTTATAGTCCTTTTGAATTCCCTTTTTATTTCTTTTTTTTCTGTCTTTGTGTGCTTCGTGGAGTGTGGCAACTTGAACTTCTGTACTTCCTACATAGTTCGATGCTGAAATTCAGTCAGACTACTAAAATAACTTATGGTAATATTGAGTCATTCGTTTAAGAAGCTGATATGCTAAAACGAATCTAATCAATTTGGTCCAGATATATCAACGCTAAATTACAAATATGAATATAGAAGCAGTGTGATGGATCCACTTTCATAAAATGTGAAAATGAAAGAAAAATAATGCATGGTAAAACTAAGACGTTCATTAGTAGGATTATGGATTTAACTAGACTTACTTTACCATTATTCCAGCCACATATCAGTTCTGCATATCCATCGTTGTTTACATCATGGCCAGTGAAGCAGATTGGTTTATTTTTAGACTAAATTTCAAATGAGCAGATAAATAGAAAATTACAATACAAAGAAATGTGTATTAATCTAAAGTAAATTTTATACTTGCACTTGTTTACTACTTTTTAAGTGAATAAAGTAATATATGACTAAAAACCTCAGTTAAATTTTATTCTCTTTCTTCTGAGCAGATAGATAAGTCTGTTAAACAATCACATCTGTTTTCTTGGTTTTATTGTCGCTTGGCACAAGTTGTTTTCTATATATACATATATATATATGCATATATATATATAATTCCTGTACGTTCCAGTGGAACACTGGGCTTCAAACTAGAGGCTTGAAGCTTCGGTAGCAGTGATGATGTCTATTTTGACGGGATGAGGTTGCTAGCCTCATGCCCAACCTCCCTCTTCACCGGTCTTACCACTGACTTAGTGAGGTAAAGGAGTGCGTCGGCCAGGGATCGAACCACAGATCATGTGCATGGTCGGCGAGAGTCCTTACCGCTGTGCCACCGACTAAACATAAAGAAATCTGAAAGTAGTCAATGTATTAGTATCTAGTAATGTATGATTTCAAAATTCTACCAGTTTTTGATATAGACCGTTTTTATCATGATATCATCAGTGAGTGATTAACTGTTGTCATGTCCAACCAAGTTAGCCTGGCTGGCTACATTTTCAATCGGAATTTCGACAGATCCGTTTCACAGGTAGTCCTTAATGTGTAGTTATGTTGCTACTAAATTATTTAGTTTGCAAGAATTTACCTTAATTTAAGATATATTTCTTTATGAACTCATATTACTTTGAACAATTCAAAGAAGTTTGTTAGGATATTTTACACATGAGGCAAATAAACTTTTAATACGGTCAAGAATATTTATAACTTGTTATTCGCACATCTAATTTTAATTTTTCTCCAAGCTGAGATTCCGATTAACAGGCGTTAAATCTTTGTACTAAGTATCATCATCATCAGAAATTTGACCACTATATGCATGTATGAGAGAGTATTTCAAACCCTATTGATTGGTATCCTTATTACAAAATTCCCAGATGAGTGTAGTGTGAAATTATCCGTCTATTTCCCTCGTTTGAATAAAACACTTTGAGGTTGTTGTTGTTGTTGAGTGGGCTTTCTTGTGTGAATCAACTGATGAAGGTTGGACTGATTTAAACAACTGAAATCTTTTGTTTTAATTAGGTAGTAGTCTGTTTAACCTGATTGATTGACTATCTTGTAAGAAAGAGAGAATAAGTAAATCTGATTGGTTGAAACAACTTTTTTGTTGATGCAAACTGGCTGATTTTAATTTCGATAAAGAAAGGAAGACGAAATTTGCAGTATAAAATGATATCATTCTATTTCACAGGTTCTCATCAGCTGCAGGCTACCTGAAATTACAATGGTTATATAAATGATAATAACATACTTTAATGTTTGAGTAGTAGTAGAGAAGAGATAAAATTGACGCATCCAAAAAAGAATGAAAGCATTACAATTTTTAGTTTAAGTTTTCATCATCAATTTATACACTTTCAAAGTCGAAAAGAGGAGGGAGGGTTTAGACAGAAAACAGAAAAATTGATTAACAGAAACAGTGTAAGCTTGTAGGTTCACATGGCAACTCAAAAAAACAAAGGCGGTTACAGTTTATGAGATTAAGATTTGTTCAGTGAGTTGAGATCACTGAATTAGATGACTAATTATTGTAATCAAAATCAAAATTCAGTTAACAAAGGAGTGAGAGGTTAATCACACTCTCTTTCTGTATGCATAAGTCTGGTTTAAATCGTTTGATTGCGATCGCTTCGGCAAATCGTAGTAAATTTGCTGTCCTTTGTCTATTTAATATTTCGAAGGACTTAGAAATCTCTACGAGATGTCCGGTATCAACAATATGTCTGGTGATTGCACTCTGAGAATATTTGCTTCCTTTCGGGAATAGGTTTCTTGGAATATGTTCAGAAAACCGGATAGAAGCCCTTCTTTCTGTCCTTCCAATGTACTTGCTCCCGCAAGTGCACGTAAATTCATAAACGCAGTTGGAGGTGACTGGATGCGTCAATTTTATCTCTTCTCTACTACTACTCAAACATTAAAGTATGTTATTATCATTTAAATAACCATTGTAATTTCAGGTAGTCTGCAGCTGATGAGAACCTGTGAAATAGAATGATATCATTTTATACTGCAAATTTCGTCTTCCTTTCTTTATCGAAATTTATCAAGGGAACCAGTTGTATGAAGTTCTTGAAAAGACGGCTGATTTTAATTTAATAGTATTTCCATGTGGATATATTGATCAACTAAATACTGCCTTGCTCAGATTAACTCGTGATTTCCACTCTGTGAAGATACATATGTACTCAGCTGATGAGTCCGAAATAAATGTAACCCACGTGTTGGATTTCAGTGATAGAAACCATCATCCAGATCACGGAAGCACTAGTCTTCCGAAAAATTTTGTCTCCATACCTTAAACCTAATAATTAATCAACAACTGAATCCTAATTCGTCAAATGTTATGCACATTAATTCGAGGATAAAAAAGTTCAATAGTTCCATACTCCAATGAAAAATATCTTTATTATAATCAATTAGTACTTCGCAGGAGAAAAATGGTGACAAAGCTATGAACACTTTAATTGTACACAATAATGACTCATTATATTGCAGTCACATACTTTAATGCGCCATACACGACTTGTTCTATTGTATACACCAATCGTACCGTTATTTAAGCCATAACCAAAGTATTCTCCACCAAGTGAAACAAGTTTTGTTACAACCTGTTAAGAAAAACACAATTTGCAAAAGTAAATAAAATCACATTCGATTACCCAACAGGAGATAAAAACTGGTAATGAGATAAACAGGTAGGCTGAATTATTACAAGAATTATGGAGATACAGTATGATTAAAGTGACATCACTAAGATGGGTTCTGACACACGTTCACCTGAAGGCTGTTATCATAAATTCCCACTGTCATGGGGCTGAAATGAGGCGACAAATACTTTACTACACTTCTCATATCAAAAACCAAGAACTCCATGAATTGGAGTCAATTCTCGATCTAACTACCTTAGCCCTCTTGTAACATAGTTTTTTCATATAGTTTGACATAACAATTGGGGTAAACAAGGCAAATGCATCCGTGTCAAATGTTTTAGCCTGCTCTGGCAATGAAAGCGTATCACTCCATCAACTGAGATACTAATATTATGTAGGGCTCTATACTTAGCCTCTGCATTGTTTGTATGGTGATTCTGTCAAACAAAGCAGTAGTAAGAATAGAAAAATGGTGAAATATTGAAAACTCTCATACTATCTGCATTTTTAATAAACTTGTTTCCGACTCATAATTTTTGTACATCACACAAGAACCAACCTCCTACTACGTAAGAACTTCTACACTTGGGTAACATACGTCATCTAAGATTAACCACATATTTTTCAGTTATTTCGACCTAAAATGACTAATCACCTTGCAGTTTCACTCTAAAAGAACCATCCACTTGAGTCAAGCTAAAAATATCAATGCTAGTACAGAAATGTTACAATAATTAACAAGCAGACAGTGATTAGACAATCAAATACTCAGGATTTCTGTCAAGTAAAAAGCGAATCCATCTTCAAAAACCTTATTCATAATACCTTGAGACTCTAATCGGATCTCTTGTATTAACTGTGAAATGATTCAGACCAATAGATGATAACTTGATAAACTAGTCACATATCTGGCAGTTTCTACCATTCCACTTAATCACGAAAAAAACACTAGTTGGTAGGCACTTGTTTGGCATATGTGAGCCGGTTTGTCCTCCCTGTTTTGTCACTTTCTCAAAATTTGATATAAGAATAGAACTTGTGCACTATGGTAGAGTATAATTCCATTATGGTTAAAATTTTATTTTGATAAAGTTTCACAGTGTTATACAGTAATTCGAAACGTCATCAGTAAATATTACCGTATAACACTGTGAGACTTTATCAAAATAAATTTTTAACCATAAGGGAATTCTCAGGATATACCATGATTCGGTGAGAATCAATTGAACCTTAGTAGTTTCCCAAATAAATTTTTCTTTCCTTCACGTTCCCCACTGGAACATAGGGCTTCAAGCTAGTGGCTTGAAGTTTCTGTAGCAGTGCTTATTTTACAGGATGGGATTGCTATCCTCATGCCCAACCTTTCCTCTTCACCAGCATTACTTCTGGCTTAGCGAGGTAAAGGAGTGCGTCGGTGGCCGGGGATTGAACCCCGGACCATGTGCATGGTCGGCGAGCATCCTAACCACTATACCACCGACGCACTCCCAAATAAATAGTTCTATATTATTGTTGTCTATAATATCATTTCAGTCAGTTCGCATTTCATAAACTTTATATTGATATCAATAATCTTACATCTGTTTCAGATATTTCATGAACAATTAAATCACCACGAAATACACGTATACTATAGTCTTCAGAACCGATTATAATATCATTAAAATATTCTTCAGTATTTTCATATGATAAACATGTCAGTGAAGATATTGCCTCGCCAGTTACAGTCCAAAATAACTCCAAACCTGAATAATTCAATACAGTCAATGTACAATTGCCACCAACAAGGATAACATCAGAGTCTTTAAATTTCTGATGACTTAGCTGTCGTTGTTGTTGTTGTTGCTGTTCTTGTTGTTCAAAATGCTTATACACAATTGTATTTACACCATCATTTTTTAACTAGAAAAGAAATAATGAAAATCTAACAACCACTAATATACCTCATTACCTCTTTATAAAATATATCCACATTATTTTTTGGATCATAAAGTAATACTCCAGTTTTTGATCCTATTATTAAGAGATCATTGTTATCTGAAATTTGTTCAAATTTTCCTGTGTCAATTGTACATATTGAATGAATTGTACTACATTTGATAAAATCTATAAAAAGAAGTAATAAAATATAATAAGAATAATTGGTAAATAATAAACTTATGGGAAATTCCCATTGTAACATATAGAAAATCAAAACAAGTGATTCAGCGAAGAGACTCTTTTCAACGAATTTATCACCAAGCTGTAGAATCGTATATATATATGGTTTTTAAGAAATTGTATCCCGTGTCAGAATTGAATCATAAGTGTGAATGCATAAAATAATAATAATAATATGAAATGCAATTAAAACTAAAATGTTTGTGATTATAATCGTAGTTAAATGTCAAGTGGCAAAGCAAATTAATGTCATATATAGAATAATTCATAGGATGGATAGAACTTGAAAAAGGGTGTGCAATTATAGGACTAGTAGGCAAATCGAATTTAAAAAAACGTTACGTAATATTGTGTGAAATTTGACAGCATAGAATTTAACGTTGTAAAAAAGAATTGATTTAGAATGACTAGTGGAAAAAGTGAAATAATACCGGGGACAGTTCAGAGTGAGAATAGTAATAGTAACAGTTGACTTAATAAAGGAAGAGTATACAAAGTGAATAGACAAAATGAAAAAAATTGGTAGAGCCAAAATATGATTGGGGATTACCATACTTTAGCATAGAGGGGTTAAGACCATGGAAGTTGGAGGGGTTGAACGAACTTTTTCTGTACACAGAGATCTGGCTTTTCTGTTTCGATAGCCAAAGATGGCTTCAGCAATGCAGATGAGTCGGGTACGTAGGGATTTGGGTAAGTTACTCTTTGCCTTATAGATGACTTTAAAGGCGGAGGCTATAGAGACAGGGTGATCATTATCGACCAGATGTTCAATGATCGCGCTTCTTATTGCTCCACTTCCACCTTTTCGTAACCATGCAGGATAGTGTTCTTGCACCCTCTTGGACAAAACTCGCGTCGAACGACTGATATACCTAACTCCACACGAGCTCCACACACAGCGGGATCTTGTCCTTCAGGTTATTGAACAGTAATGGTCGACTAGTAAAGTCTATTCTCAGAGATGTTTTGCCACTTGACATTTATCTATGATTATAATCACAAACATTTTAGTTTTAATTGCATTTCGTACTATTATTATTATTTTATGCATTCACACCTATGATTCAATTGAGAAGAAGAAGAAGTTCATCAAAGATATCTTTTCGGCGATTTCATTTTCAAAAGCTGTACAATCGCATTTAAATACATAATTTTACATGGGGACAATTCTTGTTTGATTCTACATAATTATGACGGCGAATAAGAGGTGATAATTATTTCCAACTAGATATGGTTTTACGAAACTAAAGAAATTAGTCCAACCTCTACAACTATCATGGACTTAGTTCGGTATGTTACCTTAGCTTCCGTTTTTGTTTTTTGATCCCTTTTCGTTCGCTATGTGTGTGTTTCTTACTCCCTCAGTCTTCATTCGATTCACCCCATTTTTTTCTCCAGTTATAAGAATAGTTATTTTAAGTTTGTTTCCATGCTTTTCCTGTTCACATTTATAATTCGTTTAAAAAAAATTTACAATTATATCTTAATCCTGTGCAATTTTTTGTGTTTCTAAGGCTCTTGTAATCTATATTCACACCTCCTAACTTCCATTTTAAGTTAAAACTGTTACATCAATTTTTGTTTCCATGCTCATTTTCTGCACACCTGTAATTTGCTAAATCCCATGTAATTTTGTTTCTAAGACTCTTGTAATCTATATTCGCACCTCCTGATTCCCATCTCAAGCTAAAAATTATTATTTTGTTTCCACGCTCATTTTTACACACTTGATATCCGTTCTAATCCTGTGTAATTTTGTTTCTGAGCCTCTCGTAAAACCATATCTAGTTGGAAATAATTATCACCTCTTATTCGCCGTCATAATTATGTAGAATCAAACAAGAATTGTCCCCATGTAAAATTATGTATTTAAATGCGATTGTACAGCTTTTGAAAATGAAATCGCCGAAAAGATATCTTTGATGAACTTCTTCTTCTTCTCAATCTAATGTTCCAATGGGTATTTTCCACGATATGATTCAATTCCCTCACCGGATATAACTTCTTAAAAACCATATATATACGATTGTACAGCTTGATGATAAATTCGTTGAAAATAATAAACTTTTGAAGAGCTTCTTTTAACCTTACCTTGTGACAGGACCTTTGTGATTCCATCAGCAGAATGATAAAATTTGGGATTATAAATGTATACCTAAAAGAATGAATTAGCAGAATGTAGTAAAGTTTTTATTTTAGCAATTAAGAGAATGTATATAGGAATAATATTGTGATTATTCGTACTCAAAGATTACTTGTTGTATATAATTGGATTTAAGAGCTATTAATCAAAAAAACAAAATATATAATTTTCAAAAGAATAGACACTGAACAAAGAGAACTCTTTTCGATAAATTCATCATCAGGTTCTACAATTATATATACATTATAATGAATGAATGAATTAGTCTTATGAACGACATTAATGTTTAAATAACATCAAATCAATAATATTGATAAATTACACCTGAACAGCATCAACATCAAATAAACTGAATGTCAGAAGAATTAGGAAAGGTAATGGTACAAATTCATGAGTTTATAGTCTCTACTGAGGGCCAGGGCAGTAGTAGGGGCTGGACTTGTTTCTTTTGGACACAGAGCGCTGGTTGTTTGAGGCGAATTGCAATAGCCTCTGCTCTTTGGAGTAAGCGGTGCTTCGACAATTTTGGTAGTTTGTTAGGTACCCGGTATATTACGGAGAAGGATTCGTCTACGCTGGCTTTGTGACCGGTTTGCACCCGATGGTCTAATATCGAGCTGTTAATACTTTTAACTACACCTTTGCTTAGCCATAGTGGGATATGTTCTCGAGCACGAAAAATCAAGTTCCTAGAGCAGCGGCCAACATAACTCGCTCCACAAGCGCAGTTGAATTGATAAATACAATTTGAAGTGGCCAGTCTAGGTACTTCATCTTTCAGTCGAGGTAGCACCATCGGTCTTGTAGAGAATAAGATGTGTAGTTCGCCAGCATTAAAAGTCCTTTGAACTGCTTTTCTTAATTTCTTTGTAATTAACTCACTTGCTTTATAGCCCTTGAATTGTAGTCGTATATAAAGGGGCTTCTTGTTTACAGATATTGGGTCGTCCTTTTCGGCCTTCTTCGTCATATGTTTCTTGATAAACTTGTCAGGATAACCATTTTCAATTAAAGTATCATATACAATGTTTAATTCATCTTTAATTACTTCTTCAGAGCATATAGCTCTAACTCTTTACAAATTTGACTGTTTTCAAGGTAAGTTTTTACATGAACCAATATGAATTAAAGTATCCTTCACAAATGAAGCGTCATAAAGTTGTCTTCTCAATTTTGAACTTACTAGCTGTGAAAAGTCATGACTTCACTTCGATCAAGACTTAGATAGGAATTCTTGATATGCATAAATAGCCAATCATCTATTCAGTCGGAACTGACTGGTTCAAGATTTACGATTAATACTATTTCTCTATGTGTCACCATCTAGTCCAGCGCAATAGGTGATTAATTTTCCTAAAAACCAACATAGTAAACTACACCAATCTTGAAGGTGAAGATAATGCACTAATGCTTCCCAACCCGGATTAACATGCCAGTCTTCAAACCTGACAGTGCTCAATTCAGTCATGCACAGGATCACACATACCAGTTGTTGTAAGGTATCAGAATCAAGGTGAAACTTCCGGTCACTGTTTAGAGCTTTCCGATAACTGACTAACTGAATAACTTTATGTAGAAGTCTACATTCTAATTAGTGAATTAATTTTTGCGATTAAATATAGTAAAATACTCACTTAAAAAGTCGGCATATGAATTGCGAAAACTGTTAGAATGAAAATAATTTTTCTCAAAATTAATTTCACTAAAATAATCCGTAAACGTGAGAAGGCAGTGAATATTAAGTTCCATTTTATTTGGTTAATTATCTAACTTCGAATAAGACTAAGCTAAGAAACCAGAGTTAGTGTTTGACAAGTTGAATTGTAAGCAGTAATTAGTTACCATACAAAATAGAAAAGATGATTCAATAAGATCTAGCAGATATTCATGACTTTGGGGATTAACATAGAGGTTCGCTTAAGTCTAAATCAGTTATGATTTTTATAACAAAATATCAGCTGGTTGAAGCAGAATGATGTTAGTTACTCGATTCGACCTACCATTTTGGAAACAAGTAAGCGCACGAGATTTGGGAATTCCACCCATAATCATACCATGTTTTTTTTCAAATGGAAGAAAAACTTTGTTCTGAATACCATTAACAGGCAACACTCTGAGTATGTATCACATCAAACAATTTAGTCATTTAATAGATTATAGATTATCACGTTGTCAGCATTCTGTTTCTATTTCAAGTTTCATCACAGGTCGATGTCATTTAGAGCACCATCGAAAACAAGGGAGTAATGAACAGTTGCTTCACCCTGGTTTAGGACTCTTCACCAGTCACCTTACCCACCAGAACTTCAAGCAACTTCATCCTAAAGGTCGGGTGTGAAGACAAATACTCACCGAACACACTGGCTTGTGGTTGCTCTAAAATCATGAATTGATAGAAGTTAGAATTCGTGAGTCATTAAGTTCCAACCTAAGTGGTTGAATGCTCAATGAGCTTCGCCTCTTAGTCTGAAGGACTTAGGTTCGGTTCCGGGTGGGGTCGTTAGTGTGTACTGTAGAACAGCCCCAAACTAGTACAAGACACCTGTCTACTACTCCCTGTTTTCTAATGGTCCTCCAGCCAAAATCAATCCACGATCAAACATGAATCAAATCAAACTAACTCTTGAAAATCTCATTCTTATGCTAAACTGCTATGCCAGCTTGTATACAAACCACAAGTGTTGAAATTAATTACGTTATTATTGCTTTCAAGTGGGGCTCTTGTTTTAAATCTTACTACAAGCTCTTTTCTTGAATATTGACATCTTATACTAATACTCTGATCACATTTTCAGTGGAACAGACAAGTGAACTTCAAATCTCACAGAGAGTTATGACAATTGAAGTGTTTTTCATTTTGCAAAGAAGGAACAATGGGAAATAAGATAAGTAAAATGACGCTAAAATAAAAAGTAATGCGATGGCAGGGATAATAAATACAATGTAAACTAAACTCTACACAAGTATTTTTAAATAGCCCCTCTGAAACTTTGTATGTTTTCAGCAAATAATAAAATATCATACAACCTTTCAATACACATAAAATTCCGAGCATTTTAATATGGATAACTAACACATTCTATGAAATTAATTCTGCACACCTTAAAAAGCAGACAAGAAATAATTTACTGTAAAAATTACCTTTTCTGATACTGTAACGAATACAGTAAGTAGACGATCGTCAAGAAACCTGCCGAAACAAACTAGTCCGGGTAATATCTTGAACGGTATTTTATCGCAAAACACTAGGCTGTCTGCGTTCATTGTCCAGCATGTATAATAAATGACTGCATAGATCTGCTCCTCCAAAGAGGTGAAATATTAATTATGCCTGATAACGACAGAATCAACGGAAAGTATCCTGGAAACGAGAAATGCAGAATAACCAGAATAACTAAATGTAATAATACATATGCAAAATTTCTAAGAGTTTAAACATATAAATATGTTAGTCAGTAATTCGTGGCTACTTTTTGATCAATAAAATACCATGAAATACTTCTATTTACAACAGCACCGATCCTTATTACTGGTAGTTAAATGGAGCCACACTGAAATTGATGAGAGATAGCCACATTTCTTCATAGAGTGCATTAGATTCCGTGCACACATCAGGCTCTAAGCTACTTCCGATAATGCCGAAAGAAGCAAATATTTCCGATTGCAGACCTGTGTTGCTATTTTCTTCGGGCGCACGTGTAGTGCCGCGGAAATTCCCTGGTAAAATCTTCGGTAGCATTGAAGAAGGTGGAACAGTTATTTGCAGTCTGTCCCAAAGTTTCTTCAGTACGATCGAAGGCAATGCTATTTGTACGGAATACCAAGTCATTTGAGTATCAACTCGGAGTTTGCTCACTATAGGAAGTAAGCGTTAGTTAGGAACTTCCTACCTTTACTTCAGCTTAAGATATAACTGCGATTATTTCTGATTGTCGATAATTATCCAAGCTTACAATAATTTGAAATTATTTCTAGCCCATGCGTCGATAATAACTTTTCATGGCAAATGAATATTTTATCTATCTAAAATGAACCCACTATGCGCTGAAATGACGGTCGTCGTTCTTAAAAAGAGCACTGGGCCTTAAAATAGGATTTGCGGCTGAAATAATGCCTTTAGTACTGGAATAAAGCTGAAAAATTACCACTATGTGCTGAATAAAATCTTTTCGTTCTGAAATAATTCTAGTCAGTGCTTAATATGTCCTGTGAGGGCTGGAACAACGCTGATAAGCAAACCCAATAGGTTCTAAATTTACTCCTGAAAATGTCTAGAAAAAGAACACGGTGCTGAATTAGTGACAGTCACGCTGAAAAGCAGTGCTGAGTTCTAGTCTGTGCCATTAAAGAATCTATTTCGGAACAGATTCAGAATAAACTCACTACAGAATGTTAGAATTATTTCAGAATTAGTGGGATTTAATTCAGCATTATATATAATGCTTACTATACCCAAGCTAACTATAGTAAGCTTGGGTATACACACAAGACAGCCATGACTTATTCAGTAACTACTATTTGCCGAAGAATCACAGATTTAAAAATTTCCATCACATTGACCTGCGGTGAAATTTACAGGCCAACTTCTATAACAACCTGTCGAAAATTTACAACACTTTTTACCAACTCCATACAGTAAATGTCACCAATCTTTATTAATGATATATTTAAACCACAATACTTTTATGAATTATCCTAACATGGATGCTAAACTCTTTGTTATATGTAATAACAAAATCACATGAAAAACTAGTTTCAAAAATAGTGAATGTCGTTGTAAACACAGTTCACTCAACATGACCTACAGTTTGAAACAACTAAACAAAGTCACATTCAGATTTTTTATAGACACATAACGCCATAAGTTTGCTTAAATCCTTCTCTTCCAAGAGTTTCTGTTTCTCTGTAATATTCTTGCACAACTTGACTGAGAAAGCAATTATTTTTCCGAAATTTGATTCAAATACTTAGTGACCCTGGAGCGACAGACAGTTCCTAAAATTGCTAGCCTGCAGCATTCGTCACTCAACAGTGAATACTGGCCTTCAAAGTTCAAGTTGACTTGCTTATCTGAAAACTCGTTATAAATTATCCAAGCTATTTGGCACGCTGTCGTGTTACATCAAGTTGTACATGCATGATCCCTGGTTAGTTAGGGAATCAGCCTCGCACTACAATTTGGTCCCGAAATTTACTTCGTACTTTGGGCGACCAATTGGTTCATTTTCCTTTGGTCTATGCGAAACAAATACTACAGGAGTTATAAGATCTTGCATTAGAGTACGTTGTACTAATGTAAACGGCAACACTCTCAGAAACTGAAGCCCCATGGCAAGTCCCATCCCTCAAAACGACATAACTTTCCCTCAATTTGAACTGTTCCGCCAAATAATGTGAGCTATTCCAAGGTGACAGGAACGAAAGATATACGTCAGGTTCATAATCACATATTCAAATTGTAAAATCGTGACCACAACTCTTTTCTGTTAGGGATTTGAACGCACGTTAGTGTTTTCCTGCCGCATCTTCACTCGCACATTGCCGTTTATAGTGAGTTAACTGGCGAAATAAGTATCACAGACGCCCACTGACGAAAGTACACGCTAAAAAATGCCTTTTCAACGCTTCTTAGCATTTCAATTATTTTATTTTATTTCCTTCACGTTCCTCAGTGGAACATAGGGCTTCAAGCTAGTGGCTTGAAGTTTTTGTAGCAGTGCTTATTTTACAGGATGGGGTTGCTAGCCTCATGCCCAACCTTTCCTCTTCACCAGCATTACTTCTGGCTTAGTGAGGTAAAGGAGTGCGTCGGCTGGAGATCGAACCCCGGACCATGTGCATGGTCGGCGAGCGTACTAACCACTGTACCACCGACGCACAAATTAATTTATTGTATTGATATTATTTATTTAGGGAAATTGAGGTATTTCAGTTTCTGTTTCCTTGTTTTTAGCTATTTTCTAAGTTCAGCGACTTAACCAGTTTTGTTGCTGAACAAATGAACTATTACGTATCACTGATTATGTATTCCTTGCCACACCAGTGATTAATGTGTTCCTCATTCTCTGCTCGAATGTTTTATTTCACAGGACTTATATTAACTTTTGTGAAACTGTAAGGCACAGATTTCATGGAATGGTTTCACTCAGTCTATGGAATCAGACATTTGAAAGGGAAGAAATTGAGTATTGAAATATTTACCTTTGTATCTTAATATTGTCAGCATGAGACATACCAATGTAGGTGTGATAAATCTGTTAGAAGAAATTATCCAGTATCAGTGTGTCGAAGGGGTGATGAGCGATGGCAGAAATTAGTTAAAGGACGGTATCCAATATCCTATATCGTTTTTACGAGCTAGTATAAACCAATTTGATTTCTTTGTGCTCGCCTCTTGATTGTGAGGTATAGGTTCCTGATCTTCGGTAAACGTCTGTGTAGCTCGTCCCGCCACTCGACTTTCGTAGCTTTGGTCGACTCCAAAAGGAGTATTGCAGGGATTCATTATATGTGGTTTGTAGTATGAGGTGCGTTAAGACTGTTACTACTGTGAATGGAGTTGATCCTTTAACCAGTTAGTCCTACGGTATCGCCGTCAAAAGAAAAGAGATAATAATAATAGATATAATTAGTGAAGTTTTTCAGACTAACAGCAGAAAAAGAATAAGAAAACGTAACAACAGTCAGCTGAATAAATTTGAAGAATAATATGAATAATATACATATACTCGTAATAATGATAATAATAATAGGTGTAGTTAAAGCTGTCAGGATAGTAAGAGGGGAGAGAATGTAAAGAAGTAAAACGACAAGTTTAATTGCCTACCCTTGAATGGTGTGTGCGATTTTAAGGGGATTTGACATTTGGATGTAGTTCTTGTGTCGCTGCTAAAGTTGAAATAGGGATTTGCGTAATTCATGTCTCAAAACATAAATCGGCAAACAAACCGCGAAGTTGCTGATGCTGTTTAGGATGAACTGATTACTATTAAAAATTGTTGAAATAGCTTATCTAAACTAAAAATCCCATTTAAGGCACAAAAACAAAGAATTCAGAGAAGAAATTCCACTTTTCGACTGTTTCATTTTCATTGTTATGCAATTGCATATATACATGTGAATTATGATAGAAAATAACAGTCAGTTTTCTTGTGTATGATTTATGTTACAGTTTGACAGCGAGTGGAAATGCCTAAGTTTTATAGTAATATTGGTGTATACGATTATGAGTCACAATTGATTAGACAAATGAATGAATAACTCAGTAAATGGAGGTCAGCCTAAAGCTCTATATATATGTGTGACACAGATGACCAGAAAATAAAGTACGTTCGGAAATGTGAATATGTAAATATAATATGATGGAGACATAGAAGGAGAGAAACGTCGCCAAAGTAGTAGACTAGATAAAATGTAAGAATATGATAACGTAGAGTGAGATTAGGTAAAACTAAAATTGAACATGGAATAGAGCAGTATAACAAAGTTTTATGTGAATTACATAGTAAAATCAGGACCACGGGACGAAAGAGACCACACAAATTGTTTTGTGCACGAAGTTCTGGTTTAATGTTATATATTGTCAAGGCCTGCGCTATATAAAGCAAATGCACTCGTGTCCTCAATATTATTGTAGCATTTTAGTATTTCTACTCACTGTTAAACGTTAACACATACACACACAGAAAAGTGATTACTATTGTCTATTGCGATTCATAGATATAGACAACTGTGAAGCTGTGAAATCGTGTATAAATCGTGTAAAGGAGGATTTTCTTCGCTAAAATTGGTAATGTGAAGTGAAGTGAACGAGAAGTATGAACTTTGTTGACTGTCTTGTAGATATGAACATAAAAGATAGGAAAATGTATTCATTTGATGTTAATTCTTTGTTTACTAATGTACCATTGGTTAAGACTGTTGATATTCTTTGTGACTGTGTATCTTCTAGTTGTTTTTCACTTCCTTTTCCTTTAACTTATTTGAAAGATTTATTACTATTATGTACTGATAACGTCCATTTCACGTTTGAAGAAGAACATTTTAGACAAGTGGATGGCGTTGCTATGGGGAGTCCATTAGGACCTTTATTAGCGGATGTTTTTATGTCTTATGTTGAAAACTTATCTTCTGATTTAATTTCTGAACTGCCTTTCTATAAGAGATATGTAGACGATATCATTTTGATATGCGATGATCATGAAGATGCGAGTCGTCTACTGGACAGACTTAACTCTGTACAGAATCATATTAGTCTTACATGCGAGGAAGAAAGTCGCAACCAGCTCGCATTTTTAGACATACTTCTGAGTTGAAGAGACGATGGCTCAATAAGACGGTCTGTCTACAGAAAGCCCACTTGGACAGAGCAATATCTTAATTTTCACAGCTTCTGTCCATTACAATATAAGAGAGGCTTGGTGAAGTGTCTATTTAAGAGGATTCAGCGTATTTGCATGGCTGATGTTATAGACAAGGAAAACGGAATATTGATGGATACTCTTGTTGAAAACGGATATCCTTTGAAGCTTTTAAACAGGTGTAGAAGTCAACTAGCCTCTAAACCTACAATCCATACCGTCCCTAAGAAAAAGGTTTTCATCAAATTACCATATAATGGGGAAATAAATAGTAGGATTTTGAGACAAAGGTTGAATTCCATCATCCGTAGAACCTACTATGCAGCCCAGCTTGTAATTGTCGAAAAGGCTAAAAACATGCTTCACTGGAAACCTCAAAAGTGCACAAGTGATCATATCACATCCCATACAATTTACCAATTTTCGTGTGTGCGTGGACATACATACATAGGGAGGAGTAATCGCGCGTTGCACGTGAGGGTGGGAGAGCATATCCCAAAGTGGTTAGGAAAACAGATGAATTGTGACAAGCCCATAGATGCATGTGTCAGACTACCAACTTCGTCTATAGCTAAACATTTAATCGAGATGAACCATAAGGTTGATGTTAACTCAGCCTTCAAGGTCATCTATAAAAACGGTCAAGGACGTTCACTGAAATACGCTGAGGCTATAGCCATTCATAAACTTAAGCCCCCCTTGTGTATTCAAAAACAGTTTGTTATTACTCTTAACCTACCTTGGTAATCCTTATTTGATTGGATTACCAAACGTTTGTGTTTATTATTCCTAATTCTTTTTTTTGTCACCTTGTTTAATTTAACTTTTCCTTATATATTGACTTGACAAGTAAATGTGTGATCAGATTGTTCGAAATGTATAGCGCTAGTACATCACATTTTTCAGATAATCTCCGTCTTCTAATAATGCTATCAAAAAAAGAAGTATGTAAATTATTAAGACATTTACGGTAAAGGTGCAATGTTAATAGTGTATGACGCGCCCATTTGTTGATCAGAAACAAAAGTGAGCATAAAAGTGAGACAAAGAAAAATGACATCGGAGCCCCTTTTATATCGTTTCTTTGTGCATTTTATCAACACCCACTCATCATATTATTCATCTTCTTTCTTAACTCTAATACACCTAAACAAATTGTCTTATGCATTGACCAACATTAACGACCGTTCCATATTAGTTTGTTTATTAGATGTATCAAACAGTGAAACAGTATTGTTTACTGGATGACGTTTCGAACAAAATTTATTGTTCATTATCATATCAATTGTTTTTTGATAACTTGTCACCACATCTCCCTAGCTGCAAGTTGATCATTCATCGCGCTGTTGGAAATATTTTGATGATGTAGGCAAAAACCCTAACTGATTTTTATTCTTTTCTAACAAACACAATGTACAAAT